GTTGATCCATGCTGAGAGTACTTCCGGAATCCAAACCTTGCATTTCCCAAATTAAAGCAGCTGGGGTGACCATGCCGGTCCACATGGCCGTTTCCTGGCACGAATAATTAGAGACCCAAAGGGGCATACTTTTGCAGTCGTAGATCATGATTTATGGACACACCAGCCTTGCCACTTCAGCCGTTTCAAGCTTGTGATGCTGGGAATCCCACATAGGAAAAAAACCATCGCTGTACTTACGGCCCTTTCAATTATAGGGATAACCAACTATCTAATCGCCTTCTTCAAAACAGCTCCTATTAGGTATGCTTTACATGTCATAAAACCCACCCACTGGAAGTTTGATACTTTGTAATAAAGCACTACAATTGGGCAGCCATCACTTTGCAATTGCCTTCTTCCCCCAACTGTGAGAAAACAAAATAAAATTCTTTAACCTAAAGATGGTAAGAGTTTCCCATCTTCACTGTCTTTAGGTGCACTGCTCAGTGGTATTAAGAACATTCACATTGCTGTGCAATCTCCAGATCTGTCTCCTTCTTGCAAAACTGAAACTCCGTACCCATTAAACAACTAACTCTCCATCCCCCCCCCCCCCCCACTAAGTACCTCATGTAAGTGGAATCAAATGGTATTTGTCTTTTTGTGACCAGCTTATTTCCTGTAGTATGATGTCCCCGAGGTTCACCCATGTTGGAGCATGTGTCAGAATTTCTTTCATTTTTAAGGCTGGATAATATTTCTTTGTATGTATACACCACATTTTACTTATCCATTCATCTGTTGATCAACCCTTGGGTGGCTTCCGCCTTTTAGCTATTGTGAATAATGCTGTTATCAACATAAGCGTACAAAGATCTCTTCACGTCCCTGGTTTTTGGTTCTTTTGGGCACATACCCACAACTGGAAATGCAACGTCATATGGTAATTCCGTGTTTGATTTTTTTTTTTAATTTTTTTTTTAATGTTTATTTATTTTTGAGACAGAGAGAGACAGAGCATGAATGGGGGAGGGGCAGAGAGAGAGGGAGACACAGAATCGGAAGCAGGCTCCAGGCTCTGAGCCATCAGCCCAGAGCCCGACGCGGGGCTCGAACTCACAAACCGTGAGATCGTGACCTGAGCTGAAGTCGGACGCTCAACCGACTGAGCCACCCAGGCGCCCCCCGTGTTTGATTTTTTGAGGAACCGCCATACTGTTTTCCACGGTAGCTGTACTAATTTACATTCTCACCAACAGGAATTACCTTTTAATACTTTATTTTGATATTCTGGCCTGCAGAGTCATTGGCCATTGACGGAGTCATTCATTATCACTTATTGTGACTTCTGTGTTCCATTGCCATGGCGAAGCGCCAGGAACTCGGTGGTGAAGGGGTCTGCCTTAATGTCATGGCTTGCACTGTGGAAAAAACAAGCAACAGACAGATATACAATGAAATCTATAATCATACATTTTGAACCATGCTATGAAAGAATTAGAAGATAAGTAGTTGAGACCCGATTTGGATGAGGAAAGGTGGGTGGTAGGCAGGGAACTCTGCACTGAGACTGGACGCTTAGTAAGGGAGGGCCGGGTGAAGCAGACGGGGAAGTTTTGCAGAACAGGGTAGATGCGCTGAGTGCAACAGGGACCTACACCCTTTAACTGGACAGTCATTGCATTCACACATCCGGCTTACACTTGTCGCTCTGAGCTTGTTTTCCCATCTTGAAGCAGGAATAAAAAAGGATTTTAATGAGGATGCCATAGGATTATGTATCCCGAAGATTCTCATTGACAGTAAAGCCTCGGTTTTCATAGAGCGCCTGCCTGAAAGATAGAACAAGACATGAATTTCCCGGGGCACCTGGGGGGCTCAGTCGGTTAAGCATCCGGCACTTGATTTTGGCTCAGGTCATGATCTCACGATTGGCTTCGTGGGATCGAGCTCCACGTCAGGCTCTACGCCAATAGTGAGAAGCCTGCTTGGGAGTCTCTCTCTCCCTCTCTTTCTGTCCCCCAGCCCCCACCCCCACATGCTCTCTCATTCTTTAAGTACATAAATAAATAAATACATAAGCAGTAAAAACAATAATTTCCCAACAATTTCTGCCTGGGGCAAACAGTGAGAATGATTGGATTATATAAACCCAGTCACCTAACGAAAGCTTAATATCTCTTGCTTTGATCTTTTTTTTTTTTTTAAGATTTATTTTATTTTGAGAGAGAGCAAGAGTGGGGGAGAGGAGCTGAGGGAGAGAGAGAGAGAGAGAGAGAGAGAGAGAGAGAGAGAGAATCTTAAGCAGGCTCCACACTCAGCACAGACCCCAACTCGGGGCTTGATCCCACAACCCTGAGATCATGACCTAAGCCTAAATCAAGAGTTGGACACTCAACAGAGTCAACGGGGGGCCTCAATCCTTTTTTTTTTTTTTTTTCCTAACTCTGGTCCCACCCAGGTCTTTTGGTTGTTTAAGGAGTAATAATCAGAAAAATTACCTTTGATTAGGGAGTTGCCCATAGTCCTGCTGTCTGCATTTACCCTCTCTCTGCTCTGCTCTGGTGGCTCACCATTGGAGGCAGATTCAAAACGTGTACTGCGTCTTTCTTTTCTTGATACGGCGTTCATGGAAGGTTTCCGTTTGAGGAAAATCTCTCCTGGATTTTACCTGTGGAATTTATTTCTACAGACCCTGGGATTTTCAGGACATGCTTCACTTAACATGTTTTCTTTTACCACCATTTTTTTTCTTGTTCAATCATCTTGTCTATATTCAGCTTCGGATGCATGACTGGTGTGGGGATATAAGAATAATTTTGGAGCTGGGTTTAGGGATTGACCCCCAGCTCAGACACTTCCTATTTAAGTCACCTGACATCTCTGAGCCTCAGTTTCCTCATTTTCCAGATGGACAAAGCAATGCTGACCTCCCTGGGAAGAGAAAACAAAGGAGTGTGCATTTAGCGAGTCTGAGGCATACAACCGGGGCTCAAACAATAATTGTTATCATCACCACTTGGAGACACAAGAGGCACAGTTTTATGACCTCGTTCTAAGTAGAAATGATGAAACGATCATCAACTAAAATAACTAAATATAAGCAACAGTATCTTTAATGAAGTTTTTCTTAAGCCACTAACATGGCTTGAGCTGTAAACCTATTGTACATTCATTTAGGCTTGTCATTTACATGTCCCACCACGCTATGTTAAACAGAAAAGGTGTTGGGAATAGAAGTAAATTAGTCAGCAAGGCAGGTGTTAATTGGCCTTTTTACTCAGTATGAGAATTCTAAATGGCTTCTATGTATTATTAAGCCAAATTCTTACCTTCCCAACTTTGGCCATTGACTGTTAATTCTATCTTTTTTGCTTTAGGGGACTTACATAAAACAATGCAAAACATTTTCAAACAGATTCAAAAACTGGAGGTTAACCTTCCTTCAGTAAGTCTTTATTGACGGCCATGAATATCAAAAAGATGATCAAACTGATTTATTTTCTGCCTTGGGATGTCCAAACACCCAGGTGAATGTATTTATGAGCCCAGCATTCTGGGCTTGTGTTTCTGATGAGCTTACAAGAAACTCTTACAAGCTGGGAACTTGATATATAACTAATCGAGAAAATGTAAGGCACAAATGTGGGTGGTTTACAGTTGCACAGTCTCTTACAATGAAGCAAATGCCAAATAAAGGCTCAGGCCCAGAGGCATCATATGGAAACACCAATCCAAGACTCAGAAGGCTGCACATTTCATCTTGGCTCAACGCTTACTGAGCATTTACATTGCACAAGGTGGTGGAATTAAATACCTATTTACTGTATCGATATATGTGCATGTAATACGCACACGCAGTTTTAGAAAGTGCCAGGTGTCCCGGGTCAGGATGATCCAATCGCTTTGAACTAAATCCCTTTTCCATAACGAAGCCATGCAAAAAATTTCAACAATGGTTAAGATTACCCATAACCAGTTACTCTGACAGGACTCATTGCTATTTCGTGGGAGATGTTAGGAACATTGTCTCCGTAATAAAATATGATGTTATCAGACATTTATGGCTTGCGGGGGGGAAAAAATGCAATTGCTTGCTGTTTTGATATTATCTCTGACTATGCTCGCTTTGAATCTGCCTTGTCTGTATTTAGTATCCAGTCATTTTAGAGTAAAAATAAACCCCCAAAGCAAAAATCAAGGTCGCACTGCAACAACAAACGAATCCTTGTGAATATGAATGGGGGGGAGGGGGTGCTATTATTTAGTATTTAAAGGAAATAAATGGCCTGAAATTCTGGAAAGTCCAAGGCCACTTTAAGGGGTGAGACGGACTGGTAAGGTTGAATAAAACACCCTTTCCATCATCCTTCAGGCATCTCGAAATTCAATTTAAACATTTCAATCCAAAATAAGATCTAAGGAGACAGGGGTCCTATCTCAGTTTTTTTGTTTGTGACTTCTTTTGGTAGATGTAAAAATCGAGCCAAACTATTCCACCGAAAAGCCCTTCCGACCTGGGCTTGCGCGGATATCAGCCTTACAAAAGTAATTTCTGGAGCCCACTGCCAAACACGCTCGTTCCAAAACTTTTATGGAAGCTCCTAGTTTTTAATAAGCACACAATTATTTTCATTCTTCTCTCCAAGGACTCAGAGAGCGGGGGCGAGGACGGGTCCCCCTCCGATTTCGTGCACGACCTAGCCAATCTGAGCCCGGATGCTAATTAGTTGCCCTCCCCAGATGAACACGCCTTTGTCGCCTGTAGGGCCGGACTACAAAGCCCAGAATGCCTCGCCCCTCCCTGATCAATGAGGGCTTATTTAAATGATCTCTGAGGTCTTGGACCCAGGCCAATCAGCTGTCAGGGCTCATGATAAATCGCAATGCATTATTGATAATAATAATTACTGGGACATGCGCGTTCTGGCCGAAGGGGGGTAAATTTCCTAACTCCAGGAATTTGTGGCGGAGTGGGCAAATTACCGCGGCTCTCCAGGCGGCCCGATGCTCGCACCATGTCGAGGCGCAAGCAGGCGAAACCCCAGCACATCAACTCCGAGGAGGACCAGGGCGAGCAGCTGCCGCAGCGGTCGGCCGCGGAGTTTGCAGATGCGGCCCCAGCCGCGCCGGCGACGGGGGAGCCGGGTGAGTGGGGCTGGGGGC